GTGTTCTCCAGGAGAGACCAGAGCAGGCGGCCCCGCCCCGCTGGAAGCATGCAGCTCGTGGGCGGCGGGGCCGCAGGGGGCCCCGGCTTTCTGCTTCCCTGGCTTTGGGGGTCTTTGTGCCTAAAAAGCGTTGGCTCTGAGGTGGTAGCTGTTATTGAGAACATTCGTTTGTGTAGCATAAATGTGCAGTCTGCACAAAGGTCTGGGGGAGAGCTTGTCTTCTCGTGCCTGGTGGTGACCGTTGTCTGCCAAGGGGGCGCTCTGCCTGGGGGCACTGGTGCCCCTGGGGCAGTGTCGGCCGGCTGGTTGCCCACGGCCGCACGAGTCCCTGTTCAGGCCCCTGGCAGTGCTCCCGCGTGCCACCCCTCCTTTGTGCCTTCTGATGTGTGTGCCGCGACGGCCGTTCCCCTGACCCTCTGTGCCTGGTGTGGGGTTCGGGGTAGCTGGGCTCAGTCCCTGGCCTCCCTCGAGCAGGTGCAGTCAGCCGCCTTGGACGAGATGTTTCACCGCCGGGAGGACTGTGTCCAGCGCTATCACAAGGCTCTGCTGCTGATGGAGGGGTTGCAGCACATCCTCACCGACCAGGCGGACGTGGAGAACATTGCCAAGTGTGAGTGCCGCTGGGCCAGCCAGGGGACGGCACAAGGGAGAGGTGGGTAGCAGGGTCCCCCTCACGGTGCCGTTCCTCATTGCAGGCAAGCTGTGCATCGAGCGGAGACTCTCGGCATTGCTGACCGGCATCTGTGCCTGACCTGCGGGGTGCCTGGCTCACTGTGCCCAGGGGGCTGGATCTCCTCTGCCAGTCCCCCAGGCTTGGGGGAGACCAGCTGGCTAGGCTCGAAGGGACAAGCCTGCAGCCTTGGTGCGGCTTGCTGGTGTCAGGGAGAGGGTGGGGCCCCTGAGCTGCAGGCCTGAGCTTCAGGGCGCGGGGAGGGCTCCACACAACCCGAATCCGGCCAGTCCCCCTGCCTCACCAATGGGCTGAGCTCCCGGCCACCTTGAAGGCGGGTGGGCACCTGCGGGCGGTCCCCAACCTCAGCCAAACCCCAGGGCAGCCCTGATGCCAGCGGCCGTGCTGAGGACAGGAGGAGGCACTGAGACCTGCTCTGCCCAGGAAACGGTGTGGCCTCCTGGTCCCCCTTCCCCGAGACCACCCACCCAGCTTTGTGAATCACGGAGCACTTTATGCAGGCGCAGTCCCGCCTGTCGCACTAGGAGACGCGTGTACATACCTATATACAGATGCACATGTATGAACAGCCGTGCGAGCCCGTGCGAGTGCGTGCACTGGGCCTGCTGCCTGGGACCCCCCACCCGGGGAGACACAGACATCTTATTTAAATGTTCTTTTAGGGACGGACAGTACGAAGCACCAAGCTTTCTGAACCCAGAACAGACGTTGAAGTCTATTACACTTTACTCCTGAAACGTGTCTTATTTTTCTGCAGCTCTTTTTTTTTAACAAAAAAAGAAAATTTGTAGGAGTTTAGGATGTTTGTTTAGGAAGGGTGGGGCAGGGCGGGGTGTGGATCCTCAGCATTCGGTGGATGCAGGTGGAGGCAGGGGGTGCCTATGAGGGCGGCCCTCCCCCTGCCCCCTCCCCACCTGGAGGCCGTGGGCAGGCGAGGGGGCGTTTCCTGCAGAGCCTCCTATCCAGCTTTCATGGTGGGTTTGATGCCAAAGTTGTGTGTTCCCCCCTCCCACCCCCCACCGCAGGCTGGGTCCTGGCTGCTCTGGGGGGAGGCCAGCGGGGAGAGGGCTGAGGAAGCCCACCTGAGTCCAGGCGCCCTGGGCGAGGGGTTTAAAGTTTTACATCAAGACATGGACATCTTTGTGTCTCTTTCTTTGCAATACTTGAAACATGGCCCCTGTGCTTGGATTTCGAAGCAGCCCTGTGAGTCGTTGCCTCGTCCACTGGTGACTTGGTTCCTTGCTGCACGGAACCTGTGCATATTTATTGCTTTACGGTCGGCTGGGACACAGGCCACCGGGAGGCTGGTGCCACGGGAGGGGGCTCGTGCAGCGGGCCGCCATGCGCCTGCCTCCAGCATGTGTGCTGCCAGCCGGTCTTGTCCTCCACGAGTCCGCACCTGACCCTTGGTCTACTTTACAGGAGTTTTGTGTGATCCCTCCCCCCCATTTGCGTTACATCGTGTAATACCGATTGAAGGAAATAAACCTTTGGAATTGAGTGGGCGTAGCTGACGCTGGTTTGTCAGCATCTCTAATGTCACGCGCTGCATCCAGGGACCTGCAGCAGCCTGCGCGTGACCCCCAGACTGCTGACCCAGCGCACACTGGGTGCTCCAACGTGCGTTCACGGCTGCGTCTACCCCCGCCACCAGGGTTGCAGTCTCAGTCCCTGGGGTACACCTGGGAGGGGGGTGTGGGTTGAGAGGGGAAACAGCTCCACGTCCACCCCCATCTGTGGTGCAGGAGGGCCTGCTTCCTCCACGCCCTCCCTGACGCCGTGGTTCTGTCTGGGTTCTGGCTGTACTGGGGTTTGATGCGTGGTGATCTCCCCCATCCTCTCCTGCTTGCTGGCCATTTCTAGGTCGGTTGAGTTGTAGGACTTGCATTTTTAAAACTACATACTGTTTTTGTGAGTTTTAAAAATAACTCTTTACCAGAAAGCCTAACTGCAGTATTACATGGAAGCGTGTGGAGAGGTAGCCTTAGAGGCGGTGGAGTGTGGGGCCTGGGAAGGTGGGGCGGGGGGGTGGGGTGGGGTCTGCCCCTGCCTGGCTTCCTGCAGTGTGCACGCGGTGTCTGCTCACAGGAAGGGCTGTGCTGGTGGGGAACGGGGCCAGGAGGCGGAGCCCCTTCCGCTCGGTGGGGCTCCTGGTCTATCAGTAACTGGAAGAAATGCCCTGAGGATTAAGACAATCATGGCATTGTGTTGCTAAATAGGCTTCAGAGTTCCATATGCTCCTTTCCCCTGCCCTCCCTCCGTTTCTCTGAACACCTTGCAGTGGTGGGGGACACGGTTACAATCCGTGAGCCTACATGGACACGCGCCATCACCCTGCTGTCCATTCTGTGGGCTGGACACCTGTATGATGATACGTGTCCACCATCACAGTGTCACACGGAGTAGCTTCACTGCCCCCAATCGTCTGTCCCGCCCATTCCTTCCCTCCCCCAACCCCTTGCAAACACTGGTCTTTTTATTGTCTCCTTAATTTTGATTTTTCTAGAATGTCCTAGAGTTGGAATCAGTGTGCAGCCTTTTCAGACTGGTTTCTTTCACGTAAGACGCATCTGAGGTTTTCCGTGTCTTGCTGTAGCTCATTTCCTTCTAGCTCTGAATAATACTGTATTGTTTGGATGGGATGGGTCACTTTATTTATCCAGTCACCGACTGAAGAACACCTTGGTGCTTCCAAGCTTGGGCAATTATGGCAGAAACTGCTAGAAAGGTCCCAGTGCAGGAACTTGGTGGTAAGTGGTGGGCCCAGGAGGGCTGGGCCTGGGGTGTGGCAACTGCAGGAAGGGCTGGTTCCCTCCTTTCTGTCCGAGGACCTCCGATTCCCCAGCACATTCCAGGCATGTTCACAGGTGCCCAGGCCCACAGGGGCCCTTGGCCAGGAGGACCAGGCTCAGGCCGGCCACTGTAGCTGGCGGGATCTGAGGAGGGAGCAGGTGTGGTGGTCTGCTCCCCACACGACAGGTCCAGGGAGCCTCTGTCCCCTGACAGTGGGCAGTTCTAACCTATCACAGTGCTTACCTTCCTGCCCATTTCACTCCTACCAGGATCCTGGGGCAGGCTCCTGCAGGGACACATGCCTCCATCCTTTCTGCCTGACGTGGCCTGGCTGGGGGCTCCCCAGCAAGGGCCTGCATGCGGCACAGACCAGGGTCTTGGGCTTGCCCCTGACACAGCCCTCTACCTGGTCTGGGTCTCTGTTCCAGCACCAAGGAACCCTCGGCTCCTGTGTGGCGGGGAGGGAGAGCCTCTCTTCCCAGTGGCGTAGCCTGAAGCCTCAGCATCGAGCCTCCCCCGCTCCCTGGCTGGGTTTGTCCAGGTCCTGGACTCCTGTGGATGCCCTCAGCCTGGGGTCCCACGTCCATCTCCCTGTGCCAGGGTGGGGCCCGTGCCCTCAGAGCTGCTAGGGCCTGGAGGGAGAATTCCCCACAGAGGGAATCTTCTGGCAGAGGGTGGAGGTGCCCTGTATGAAGGTCGGTCCTCTGCAGAGATGGCCCAATGCTTCCTAAAGCTGCTGAGCCCCTGGAGCTCCCCAGGTCACCTGTGACCATGCCCTTTTGTCAGCCCTGGCACATGGAGGCTGTGCTCTGCCCTCCTGCAGAGGGGAGGGCTGTCCTGGGGGGTCGTTCAGCACAGGTGAGCCCTCCCCTCCCACCTGCATGATCTCCTCAACCCATCCTCACTTTTGAGCTCAGAGGAGTATGGTGTGGTCCGGGGAGACCCTTGTCAGTAACCAGCAACCCACTTTCTGTGTCCGGGCCTGCCTGTTGTGGACGTTGCAAATGAATGAGACCCTACCCTACTGACCCTTCGCATCTGGTTTCTTCCACCGCGGGAGGACTCACATCGTGGGCGCGCCAGTACTTCGTTCGGTTCCCTTTGTACGCGGCGTTTGGTACTTTGTGATGCCCTATTTGTTTTTCTGCTTGGTTGGTCCCTGGGCGTCCCCCCACGAGAACGTGAGCTTCCGAGGCAGAGTTTTGTTGTTGCGCTCCTGGTCCGTCTCCCAAGCCCTCCCGCAAGGTTTTCCCGAGGATCGCGCCCCCCAAGTGTGTCGCGTGAGCAGACGCCTGGCCACCACGGATCTGGGAGACGCAGAGTCTGGGGAGGCGCTGGTGTGCTCGCCTCGGGAAGGCCGGGCCCGCGACGCTCCGTCTGCGGAGCACCTGCGCGCACCTGCTCGCTCCCGGGAGCCGCGTCCCGTCCCAGGCCCTAAGCCCCGCCCCGCGGGACTTTTGTCCACGCCCGGCCGCCGTCGGGCGCGCGTTCCACTTCCGCCTTCGCCCACGTGGTCCGGCTCCGGCTCAGTCCGCGGCGCCGTGAGTGGGGCCGGGTGGGAGCGGGTCTCTCTAGTTCCGGCGAGAGTGGCCGGAGCCTCCCGGACTCCCGAGGGGAAGCCGGGCGGGGCGGGGGGGCCAGGAGGGGCAGGGGCCGCTGGGGAGGTCGGCCGCCGGCCGCGAGGGCGCCCCGGGGGAGGGGGCCGGGCCCGTGCCTCCCCAGCCCCCAACACCCCGCTCCCCGACGCGCATGGCGGCCTCCAGCCTGCGGGCGGCGGCCGGGGCCCTGCGGAGAGCCTGCGGAGCGTGGAGCCCGCGCCTGGGACGGCGTCTGTTCTGGTAACCGCGGCGCGTCGCCCGGGCCCCCGCTCTCCAGGCCGCGCGCCCCAGCCGCGGCGCTCACTCAGTCCGTGTCCTTGCAGCTCGCCCCCCATGGCCGGGAACGTGCAGACCCCCGCCCCCGTGGGCGCGGCGCGGGAGCAGCACAGGAAGGCCCGGAGCGGCTGGCCGGGCGGGGCCCGGGTCTGGGAGGACGCCGAGCAGCAGGCCAAGAAGCTCAAGAGCAGCCCCGACGGGGAGCCGCACAGGAAGCTGCCCAAGCGGAAGATCGTGCTGCTCATGGCCTATTCCGGGAAGGGCTACCACGGCATGCAGGTGAGGGTCCGCCGGCTCTCTTCACCCGGTTTTCAGCGTCGCGGTGAGTCCCCCGGGGCAGGGTTTCCGCTGGAGCCCAAGCTGCCCCGAGCTCTGCTCTGGCCCCGGGAGGTGCGGCGCTGGGGCTTCCGGGCGTCTGGAGCCCCCCTGCTGCCGCTGACCAGCCTGCGGCCGCAGCAGCCCCGAACAGGCTCCCTGTGCTCTCTCGGAGGCCGAGGGGCAGGGAGGGGCCGGCCGCCGTTGCCTGCCCTACTCCGGAGCTCAGGCTGGGGCAGGTAGGATTCTCAGAATTCCTGATAGTTCGGGGTGCAGGAGCCCCACACCTGCACAGAGAGGTTCTTGCCCCCCTAGCGGGTTCTGAAACGTGGGTCCTGTGTTCTGTAAGCCTGTTGAAGCTTGACTCAGAGGAAGGAATTGAGTGCCGTGCCCGAGCGTGCCCAGAGCATCTAACCGGGGGCTCCCCAGGTGGTGTGATAACTATCACCAGGAGCAGCGGGAGAACTGGGGTTCGTCGGGTCTCATTTTAAGGAAGAGCTTAGGTCACACGGGGGAAACTGATGTCACAGTGTGGGGTCGACTCTGCCAAGGGGGCGGGTGACTTCTCAGGAAGGAACGGACCACCCCTGTTGCTCTGTGTGGGTGATGAAAGGCTTTTGTGACTGATTTTGAGGAGGTGCATTTTTGCTTTAGGCGCGGTCTTGAGAACTTTGCTGTGTCTCAACAGCTTCTGTGTGCCTCAGTTTCCCTGTGAGGGAAATGGGTTGGAGAGTGACAGGGGCTCACCGTGCTGATGGGAGGACGTAGTGAGAGCCTGGCACTCGGCCGCCTTCCCTACTGCCGCAGCCCTGCCCCTGCGTGGGGGTGTTTGAGCAGCATTTATGTATGACTTGATGCTTGCAGTAGGGACCGTAGGGTAGACCTTGGGAAGAACTTCCCCTGTGGTGATCTTGGCAGAGTGTTCATCCGCACTCGTGTCCCTGGTGTGGGGGTTTTCTCTGAGAAGCGCCAAGGGGGGGTCACGTGATCTCATTGATATGCGGGGTCCTGCAGGCCCTGGGTTGTGCTTAGGGCATGCTGAGAGGATAGTGTTAGGAGGTTCTAGAAGCAGTGGGTGTCGTACGGGCTGGTCCCATGAGCTGAAGGGATACTGAATCCAGCCCTGGCATCCTGGGGTGGGTTTCCTGCTTTGAGTCAAGGGGTCTGCCTCCCCGTGTGATAAGGTGGGTGGCCCTCTGCAGCCCGCTGCTGCCGACAGATGGGTCTCTGGCCAGAGGGGCACTGGTTTCAGACCTGACCAGGTGGGAGGAAACTGTCGGGTGATGCCCTCTGTGGGCTGTTTGACCTGGCTGCACAGCGTGGGGCGTTTCTAGAGACTGGGTACCCTCAGGTAACTATCTCACTTGCCATGGGATGGGGAAGAGCCGCGGTGTATTCCCAGGGCCGCAGATGTGGGCCCAGGACCCAGGCGTCCTGCGGGGAGCAGCTTAGGCCCAGGGCTCCCGTCTGTGGGCAGCGACTGAGTGAAGAAAACTGGTTTTCTATTCGTTCTTTCAGAGGAATATTGGGTCCTCACAGTTCAAGACCATCGAAGATGACTTGGTGTCTGCCCTGGTCCAGTCGGGTTGTATTCCTGAAAATCATGGTGAAGACATGAAGAAAATGTCTTTCCAGCGGTGCGCCCGGACAGATAAGGTAGGCGCCATCTCTGCCCCTCCCCTGCAGGTTTGAGCAGCAGACCTGAAGCTCCTGGTCTGTACGTCCTTCACACCACACATCAGCGTCTTTATTCGTCAAGATTCTTGGCTGTGAATGACAGATACACAGACCAAACTAGCCAAAACGGGAAGAAAGCCGTCGCCTCGTGTCACCAGGAAGTTCTCAAGCATTTCCAGTCCAGGTGTGGCTGGACCTGGGTGCTCTCTGCGGGCCAGACTTCGTGTCTGTGTGTTCTCCTGCGTGGCCCCTGCAGGTGGCCGCACAGTGGTCCTGATACCCACGCAGCTCAGGCTTGCCAGTACACAGAGGATTGAATGTCCCATCTTCCAAGAGGGGAAAAGAAAGGGGTGATCCTGGTGTGAGTCATCTGTTTTAGCTTAGTATGTCCAAGACAGTGTTTTGTCCCAGTGTAACAGGCAGAACGCAGCTCCCATTGTGTGCGCACGCATGTGCGTGTGTGTCACGGCTCGGCAGTCCGGTACGTACTCCACGCTCATGGTGCATCACCACCACACTGGCCGTGTCTCGTGGACCAGGGAGCCCCAGTGGCTGTGGCCCCGTGCTGTCCACTTGGTCCCAAGATTGGGTCTTAGCGCACTTAGTCACTGCCTCACACGTGTCCTGGGCTCAGTCTCGCCCTGTCGTGTTCCTGGATGTCAATCTGGCATGGGCAGCAGCTCCCCAAGGAGAGTGGAGGGGAGCTGGGCAGGCGGGTAGGGCACAAACCTCGAGCTCTTCTCCAGTAGATATGAAATGCAGAGTGCACCGCATGCCTTCTGCCCCTGCTCTGCAGCCCTAACCCTGGGATGCTTCTGTGGCCACCTGAGGCCCCTGGGGGTGCGACACAGACACGGGCTGGTCAGCATCCTGAGCAGCCAAACAATGCCCAGGTCCACAGGTACCAGATCCCCTGGGTTCACGTGCCAGGTGGGGACCACAGAACTGGTGAATCGTATAGATAAGCAGAGAACAAACGGGACTGTGGGTTCACTTCTTGTAGGTGATGTGGTAATGTTTCCCATGGCTCAGACGAGGGTCCTGTGGTTCCTACAGTTTCCCTTTTCTCTTCAATTGGCTTGGTGACAGCTCCTCTGGTAGTTTGCAAGGCAAAAGGAAAGCAGATACCTAACAGCGTTTCAGAGCGTGGTGCTTAACCCAGTGTTGTTGGAGATTGTTCCGTTCAGATGTGTTTCCCTCTTACAGTTTGGGGAACCTGAAGAAACCCGAAACTTCCGACACTAACATCCCAGCTCATCTCTCCACTTGTGCATCCAGCCCCGTGGATGAAGAAATGATAGCATTTTCTTAGTTTTTATTTCAGATTCTTTAAAAAGCCGCTTTATTGAGATACAATTCACTCCTTACAGTTTGCCTACCCAGAGTGTGCGAGTCAGTGGATTCTTGAGTGTTTGCAGAGTTGTGTGGCCGTCCCTGCAGCTGGTCTGGGGACACTTTCATCTCCGCAGAAAGGAGCCCAGGCCCCTTAGCCATCTCTCCCGCCCCAGCAGCACGTCCAGAATGTTTTCATTTACACACGATTAATACAAAAACATAGTGGTGTCATTCATCTCCGTTCCTTTTTTTTTTTTAATTTTGCTTTTTTAAGTAATTTCCACACCCAGCATGGGGCTTGAACCCACAACCCTGAAATGAAGAGTTGCACGCTTCACTAACTGAGCCAGCCAGGCATCCCCATCTCCCCAGTTTTTTATTGGGAAAAATGTCAGCCCTGCAGATGTGTGGGGAGTATCGCGGTGGACGCCGGACCAGCCCTCCCCTCGATTCAGCAGTGATACCATTTTGCCACATTTGTTTCCTCTTTACATTCTTTTTTCCCCATAAACCGTTTGAGAGTCCGTTGCGGACCTCATTCACCCTGAAAGCGCCGGGATGGCAGCGCCCCTGGGAGTTCCCCTCGGGTGGTCTGGCACTGACGGGGTGCCGCTACCACGCGCCTTGGTCTGTTACTGACCCAGTGCCTGAGCCGTGGTCGGCGTGTGTGCCTGCTCCCGTCCTTTGAGCTCCCTTTAATCTGAAATGGTCTTGTTGCTTTTTTTTAAATTTTTTTTGGACAGGTGAGGTCAGTAGTTTTTTTTTGCTTTTTTATTTTTTATGGTTTTTTTTTATTTTATTTATTTGAGAGACAGAGAGAGACAGAGATAGAGCACAAGTGGGGAGGAGAGGGAGAAGCAGGCTTCCCGCCGAGCGGGGAGCCTGATGCGGGGCTCGATCCCAGGACCCTGGGATCATGACCTGAGCCGAAGGCAGACGCTTAACCATCTGAGCCACCCAGGCGCCCCGCTGTAGTCGATTTCTTGGCACAGGTTTGTGGAGCGCCTTCAGATGATGTTTGTGCGGTGACGTGGGTGGTGCTGAGCCGCACACCTGCGCGTCTGCGCCCAGGACGGCACCCCGCCCCCCCAGGAGCCGTCCTGTCCACTTCCCTGTCCCCACACGGTCCTGCCATGCTGACTGTCCACACAGCTTTTAGACAAAGGCCCAGCATCGGGGTGGGGAAGCATGCTCACCCCGCTGGGAGTTGCCTGTGTAACCAGCTCCCCTTCGCTGTCCACGTCGTTCCCCCGTCCCTGTTCCACAGGACAACTGCTCTCCTGACTTAGATGGCACGGTGGTCCCCCCTGGTTTGTGGGGGACGCGTTCCAGGACCCCTGGTGGATGCCTGGCCTGTCCCTGGTGCTGAAGCCCCGTGATACGGTGTGCTCGTAAACGCGGCCCAGGGAGAGATGAGCAGTGGTCGCTCAGGGCAAACCAGGATGATTACAGCCATGCGCTGGCCTGGAAGTTAGGCGAGCGTGGGCTCTCAGAAGGCCTCTGGGCCGTACCCGCTGTCCCCACGACAAAGGGAGACAAGATGGGGGTGCGGAGGGCGGGGGCTTGTGCTGGAGCAGGAGGTGGAGCGTCAGCAGCGCGGGTGAGTGCGCACCTGGAGCGGGGACGGCGACACCGTGGGCGAGGTGGGGCGACGGCTTTCTCTTGCTTGGCCTCCCATTCTCCCAAGGAAATCGCTTGCTCTTTTCCCCACGTTGTGCGGAGTCTGGTCCGAGGGGGCCTTCATTTCTTACCTGCGTAACGTGTGTCCCGCAGGGCCAAGGCCATCGGTGATCCTTCACCGGTTGTGCTCGCCTGGCTCTTTGGCGGACTGAGCGCCATCCTTGGTCTCACCAGCCCCTCAAATGCGTTTCTAAAGCCAGAACTTGTACAGGAAACGGTGTAGCTTTGGCGTGGTCCTTGGTCCAGGAGACCACCTTACGGAGGGGTGTGCCTGACCCTTCTGCTTCCTTGGCAGGGCGTGTCGGCGGCCGGCCAGGTCGTGTCCCTGAAGGTGTGGCTGATTGACGACATTTTAGAAAAGATCAACAGCCACCTTCCGCCTCACATTCGGATACTGGGTAAGTGCAGCAGGGCAGGGCTGCGTGCCGCGTGGTGGCTGGTCTTGGAGGGACGTGAAGCCTCACCAGATTTCTCTGGTGTGGAATCAGGATACCGGGGCGGTTGCTGAGTGGTTGGTAGGAGAGGTTGTGAGTCAGCTCAGAGGTTGCTGTCCCCTCCTCCTGAAGGGATGAGCTGGACACGCACTTGGGAGCTGCCTTCATGGCAGCGCCTTGTTTGACCCAAACACCAGACGCAAAAGTCCCGATTCGGTAAAGCTGAAACGGGTGAGGATTCCCTTTTATAACAAGCCTGACAAATGGGATTTTTAGGTCTTTGTTAAAATGATTCCATCTGACTCTCTGCTTTTGAGTGGCGTGCGCGGGCCGGTGGTTTCCCACGCTCTTGGGTGGGTTGGTTGGCGTAGACCTCGCCGTCTGGTGCTCTTTGTCTTTTCTGTTCTGTGCTCTCTTTTTTTTCTCTTTATTCTTTTGGATTAATGAATGTTTCTTATAATTCCATTTAATTATTACCTTGCTTGCCTTGTTAGGGGTAACGTGCTGTGGTTTTAGTGGTCGCTTGGGGGTAAGGCAGGAATTGGCAGACCCTCTGTAGCGGGCCCGGCCGCGTGGCCAGCCGACCTTGATCTTGGCCTCGCATGCCCCTTGACTTTAACTGCCCTGCCGCCCCTGTTGTTGCCGGCGGGCTATTTGGTGGCCTGGTGGCCGTGTCCGTTGGAGCTGCTTCTCACCTCACGTTTTGTGTGAAGATGGCGGCACTGTCCTGTGTCCGTCCCCCCGGCCTTGCCGCTGACGGGTGCCTATCATACGACCACGTGTGGTACCAGCCACGCGGTGTTTTTCGTTTAAGCAGCCAATTGAAAAAATCCTTTGAGATGTGGCTGATGTGTGATGAGCACCGTATGTGCGCCCACGCCTGTGGAACCATCCTGGGTAGGACCGTGAGCCCCTCCGCCCCCCACCCCTCCTCACGGGCCACCACTGATCTGCGTTGCTCTTAGTGCTTCACTGAACAGAATCAGGTCACACGTCTGGCTGCTTTCACGGAGCCGGTGTTGTGTGGACCTCGCCACGTGGGCGCGCTGCACATGGTTTCTCCATGTGCCCCGAGGGCGCTGGGTTTCTGCGCCGCCACGGACAAAGCTGCCGCAGGCATTTGGCGCAAGTAAACGGAGATTCTTACCGTGAAGTTGGTAACGGTTACTGATTACTTTGTCTGCTACTGGACGTCTGTGTTTGCATGTGACGTGGCTTTTGTTTGCTCTGCTGGGGTCTTTCTCTGCTGCAGGGAGGGTCCCCTCCCGGGACACTTCTCTTTGAGTAAACCCTCCTGAAGGCGCCTTGATGCGTTTGCACCGGAAGGTCTTCCATATAGTCCACAGATCAGGCCCCAGTTTTGCTAAAACAACACCGAATTCCATACAGTTACCGCAGTGTCAGTGCTCCTTGTGCAGCCTGACACGCGGGGTGGTTTCCCTCGTTGCAGCCCCGGAGCGCAGCCATCAGGCAGCCCGGGTGCTGATCCGGCAGACAGCCGCCTGCATGACGTGTCCTGGCGATGTTCGGTGCAGACAAAAGTGAATTTTCAATGCCAGGCAACAAGGAAAACCTGAAATTACCCCCAAATGAGACACAGCAGTAGAGCGAGAGCAAGGAGGGCAGGAGCCCTGGGGCTGGGCCAGCTGGAGGTGCCCGCAGGGCCCTGGTGCAGCTTGGGCAGCACCCTCGGGTCCAGGTCCTCGCCAGTACCCGTGTGTTGTCGGGGAGATTCTCTACGCACGCATATGCTTCCGTGCTTCTCACGAGTGGAGCCCTGCGTGCTTCATTCTGTCTTTATTCTTTCACTTCCTAGTTAGCGTGTTCGTCGAGCACCTGCTGGGTCTATCCGCTCTCAGGGCACAGGGCCTCTGGTGTTCGGGGGCTGCCTGCTGCTTCGTCCTGCCGACGTTCTAGAACGTGTGTGATCGTGTTTCTCTCGCTGGACTTCTAAGTTGTCTTTGGTTTTTTTTTTTTTAGTTGTCTCTAGTTCTTGTTCTTAGCCCTGTCGCTGTCTGGTGGCCTCGTGTAGGACGACCCGTAGGGCGTGGTTTCGGGTCCCCGGTGGATTCCATGGAGAGCTGTGCAGGGCGTGAGCATATGCTTCCCTGCTCTTCTGCGAACCCCGGGTTTTGACAAACCGCCGGTGTTTTTGATGAGTTGGTTTGCATAACTCTGCCATTGAGCGTCGGGCGCGTGCGTGTTCGGTGCACGGAAGCCGGGCCCACATCTGGTCCAGGCACTCATTGGCAGGGAAGCGTTGTCCTCACTTGCCTCCTCTCCCCCCAAGGACTGAAGAGGGTCACGGGCGGCTTCAACTCCAAGAACAAGTGTGATGCCAGGACCTACTTCTACATGCTGCCCACGTTTGCCTTCGCCCACAAGGACCACGACGTGCAGGACGAGAGCTACCGGCTGAGCGCAGAGACGTGGCAGCGCGTCAACGGGCTTCTCTCCTGTTACAAGGGCACGCACAGCTTCCACAACTTCACCTCGCAGAAGGGGCCCCGTGAGGCCAGTGCTCGGCGCTACATCCTGGACATGTTCTGCGAGGAGCCTTTCGTGCGGGAGGGCATGGAGTTCGCAGTGATCAAGGTGAAGGGGCAGAGCTTCATGACGCACCAGATCAGGAAGATGGTCGGCCTGGTGGTGGCCATCGTCAAGGGCTACGCCCCCGAGAGCGTGCTGGAGCGCAGCTGGGGGGAGGCGAAGGTGGACGTGCCCAAGGCGCCGGGGCTCGGCCTGGTCCTGGAGCGCGTGCACTTTGAGAAGTACAACCAGCGCTTCGGCAACGACGGGCTGCATGAGCCGCTGGACTGGACGCGGGAGGAGGCGGGGGTCACGGCGTTCAAGGAGCAGCACATCTACCCCACCATCATCAGCACCGAGCGCCACGAGCGGTCCATGGCCCAGTGGCTGAGTACCCTGCCCGTGCATGACTTCAACGCCACCGCCCATGCGGCAGCCAGCCCGGGCACCAAGGTGGGGGCTGGGGCCATGGGGCTGGAGGCCGGGGCCCCGGGGCTGCCACAGGCCCTCCCTTTCGGGCGCTCGGCCAAGCTTCTCACCCGCTCTACACTGGTGTCCTTGTGTCCATTGTGCAGACGAGCAAGCTGAGGCGCAGAGAGGTGCGTCAGGCTCTCGGGGTCACACAGCTGCGGACGAGCAGGGCCAGGGCGTTGGACTGGGTGGCTGGCGACCCCACAGTGCTGCTTTGTGTTTGCTCCCCACTCTGTGCCTACTGACCTCAGACAGAGGCTGTGCTCGGTGGCCCGCCTTACTGTCCGTGGGACGGAGGTGTGAGGACGAACACTGTGAGGTCCTCAGCGCGTGTCTGTCGTCGCACCTGCTCCAGAACGTGGGGTCCCTTGAGAGGCACGTGGGGTGCTTGGCGCCCGCTCCAGGTGGTTGCTGTCTGACGCGCTCTCCCGCTTGGGCCACGGCTCCAGGCGGCTTGTCCCTGCCAGGAGAGTGTTAGGAGGAGGGCACGTGTGTTGAGGCCCTGGAGCTAACCGTAGTCTACAGCCGGATTCTTTCCCTGGGGCGGGAGACGTCCCTGAGCCTGGGTTCTCTGCTGGCCCAGCAGCTCTCCACGGGTGCAATCCCACCTGGAGTGCTGGGAGAGTGTTTCGCATCGCCTTCGCGCCCAGAAAAGCATGCTCCTTCCCGCACACCTGGGGTTGTAAACCCACGCACGCAGGTAGGGTAAGCCGGCCAGGTGGGCCAGGTGTGGAAGAGCAGGTGTGCAGGTGGGACGACGAGGGGCCGCGGCATCAGGGAGGTGATGGGGATCGGACCCTGGCAGGCGCGAGCACTCCTGCCCCGTCTCACGGCCACATCGGGGGGAGGGCCACGCCGGGAGAGCTGAAGCTTTCCCAGGAGACACCGGCATCCTGGGATTTTACGTGGAGTCTTTGGTCTGTGAGTGTTGACGGTGCTGAGTTCTCCCAAGCACTGTGAGGCCGGGTGGTGTGTGTGTGCAGATTCGAGCTGGGGGCCAGACGTGCCCTCAGCTGGACTCCCGCTGGGACAGGCTCCCGCCTCCTGCTGTCTTCACACCTGAGGGAGGGCCTGTGCTCGTCCAGCTGGGAGTAGCCACATTTTGTGTCCCCTGAGGGGATCTGATGGAGCCCTGTGACGACCCCCTTACCCCCAGCCTTGGCTTTCCCTGAGCAGGTCAGGTTCTTGAGCTGTTGGTGTGGGGGCCAGGAGTCGGGCTGAGACCAAGTGCTTGCGTGTGTGCCTGATGACAGGCCGGGCTGGGGGGCGGCCCTGATGCTGAGCCCCCCGCGGACAGCCCCCCCAGGGAGGAAGCACTCACACTTTGCTCTTGTTCTGCAGGTGCCTGACCCCCCAGGAGACAGTGACTGAGGTGGCGGCCACCTGCTGGAGCGCCTTTAGGCTGGCCCAACGTGCGCCAGGAGCCCCTGCTGCCACCGCGGGCCCACCTCCCAAACGGGGGAGCCGTGCTGCCGCCCCGCAACCTCAGGGTCTTGAGACCTGCGTCACGTTGGGTTTCATCACAGGGAGGACCTGCTGCGAATCTGTTTTCAGCTCATGCATTAACCGTATACACCTCAGCACGTAAAGACACTATTTTTTTTAAAGAAGCAATTTTCTTATTAAATAAGTACGAACTTTGCTAAAGTCATGCCGTTTTTTTACCTTCACTTGGTCTCTGCTATGCTTGTAGCCTCCGGAGAGGGGAGGGAGGGGGGGAGTGCTGTGTGCTGTTAGGAACAAAGGGGCATTGGTGGGCAGAGGCCAGAGCAGGTGGGCACAAGAGGCTCCTACGGGGCCGGCCGTCAGGCTCAGGCCCGGGCTTGGTGGCTTGGCCGTGTTGTAGAAGGCAGCCCCAACAGGGCCCTTGCCTCTGGTCACATCCACCCCAGCCCTGCCCATGTCCCAGGTGGGGGGAGTGGGACAGATGGGGCAGATGTGGCCCTCGGTGAGCTCTCCCAACAGAAGACCCACCAGTAGCTGCTTCCCCTCATTGTCAAGGGCACGTCATGCCGTCCGGTCTAGCTGCAAGGGATGCTGGAAGATGCCTTCTACCAAACGGGTAAAAGGTAAAACGTAAAAAAGCACAGCCCAGAAGTGACCTGTCAGTGAGAAGGGGGATTGGGTCACGGGCAGGCCCTGGGCATGTCTGCAGAAGGCACGGGCAGTGTCCCGTGGGGAAGTGGTGTGTTCTGTGCGTGCCGGTGTTCATGCGTGGGCACGTGAGCACACACCTGATGCGTGCACGCACGAGATGTACAGCGTCTGTACCCATGGGTACGTGCGTGTGCTTGTGAGTCTGCATGGGTGCCTATATGCACACCTGTGTGCACACGTGTGGCGTGTGGGGGCATGCGTGGGCACACCCATGTGTGCACGGAACTGGGGAGATCTCTTTGAGGGCTTCTTCTGGGTGGACAGACAGGGTGGCATGAGGATCATCAGGAAGACCACTGAGGATGCTGGTGGTGGCCGGGGTGGAGGGGGGAGGGTGTGTTTGCAGAGGGTGAGTGAGGTGTGTGGGGCCAGAAAAGCAGCTGGGCTTCCTGCTGCCAAGGGGATGGAGGTGAGCACAGGAGGGAGAACAGAAGGCTGACTTGGGCTTCACGTTTAAGGGACTGAGGACCTGGGGCCGTTAGCAGATGGGGCCACTGGGGAAAGGCGGTCTGGAGGAGATGCGGAGCTTGGCATTAGGCGTGGTAATGGGCCCCGGGATAACTAGGGCTTTTTGCTAAGTCATATCCAAGGGCAGAAATCAACCCAAATAACTGCTGGGACCACTGCTTCTCCCATGAAAGGCTACAAGGGCTTGGTCTGAGCATCAGTCAAACCTCTAGAATAGATAACTCCCAACTGTGACTCCAGGTAATGAATGGATGACCTGTGTAACCACCTTGGAGGATCCCTGGGAGGGCAGCATTTTAAAGTAACGAATATGCTTGCAGCAACAGTACATAAGAGAGAAGCCTTCCCTCACTGGTTCCTAGGGCCTCTTGCAGAGAGCCCTGTGCATAGATGAGCCCATCTGATCCGTCTCTTCACACAGATGGTGGCTTACAATGCACTTGACTCTTGCCTGTCCCAATATAGCATGGCTTTGCGGTTGTGAAAGTCTGCATTGTTCTTGCTGGTGGCTCACTGTCCATGCCGCCCCGGGTGCTGCCGGGCCTTTGTCCAGACCATCCCTATACGTCCTTGTTGATGTGTGTGAGTAGCCGTGGATGCAGAATCAGTGGTCTGATGGGTTTCTAGTGGCCACTTGACTTTGATGGCTCCTCCCCTCCATAGAGCCCTGCCGACATCACATGACGGTACCTGCCCCTCACTCTCTCCAGAACCTCAGGGGAGCAAGCCTGACCTTGGGGCCAGCCTTTTCCTGGGTTGCATGATCCTTCCCTGAGCATGGAAGATGCAGAAAGTTAGGGCCGGGATCTGCATAGTCAGGGGGTCAGATGCCAGAACACAGTGTTATCCCAAGGACACAGGAGAGCCAAGAACCCGCACCTCCTTTCCCTGCCCAGCTGCCTGCTGGGTCCCCACATCGGCCAGCACGTAAGATGGGCACGCAAGTCAGCACCTGGGAAGCAACGGGAAATCTCGTGAGCTGCTCTCATCTGTGTATTTGGGACCACGCAGGTGTCTGAGAAGGAAGACATCACGGTCTGGTTCTGTGTGTGGTTGGGCAGGTGTTTTCTTCAGCAAATTTGGGGTTTACAGATTGCTGGGGGTGGAGGGGCTCAAGGACCTGGTTTTGGACTGGACCAGATCCCCTGGAAGGTTTCCCAGAACAATACAGAACTGGCCCATTGAAGCATCTGCTCCTCATGCTGCCTCTGGAGCTGGGGGGACCAGAGGACCCGGACCCGCCCGCCCCACCCGTGGCCACGAACCTGGAGCTGCTGACAAGCTACCTAGAGCTGTGGCCCAGGGGGAGGGGTTCATGTCAGGAAGCCACCAGTATCCACGGCTCCATGTTGACGGCCACCCAGCACTGGGCCTCCCTTGCAGGAGAGACATTTGTCAGCCCTGCTTTTGGGCAGCAATGCAGCAGGAAGGAAGTGGCCTCCTCCCTCCCACTGCCAGTCTTGCACAAATGCAGTGAACAGAAGGGGCCTCACTCAGCCGGGACTCTGGCAGATCAAGTTTTTAACTTCCCGGCTTCACCAAGTAGGAGGGGGGCATGCAGTTTCAAAGAGCCAGCCCCCACCCAGGCGATTCAATTGGATGGAGAATGTTCTTTTGACCATGGCTCTAGAACAACTGCTCAGTGCAACTGCCCACTCCTGTCTCCTTTTTTTTTATTTTATTTATTTATTTTTTAAAGATTTTATTTATTTGACAGAGACAGTGAGAGAGGGAACACAAGCAGGGGGAGTGGGAGAGGGAGAAGCAGGCTTCCGACGGAGCAGGGAGCCCGATGTGGCGCTCGATCCCAGGACCCTGAGATCATGACCTGAGCCGAAGGCAGACGCTTAATGACTGAGCCACCCAGGCGCCCCTTCTGTCTCCTTTTTGTAGCCAGGGTTTGTTTTTCTAAAATTTTCAGTTTAACATCAGAGGGCATTTGCACCTGCACTTTGCTGAGGTGCTTTATTGCATCAGTCTTCTAATTTTTCTTTTTTACATTTTTAAGATTTTTTAATTTTATTTTTTTAAAAGATTTTATGTATTTGAGAGAGAGAGAATGAGAGAGAGCACGAGAGTGGGGAGGGTCTGAGGGAGAAGCAGACTCCCTGACGAGCAGGGAGCCCGATGCAGGACTCGATCCCGGGACTCCAGGATCGTGACCTGAGCCGAAGGCAGTCGCTTAACCAACTGAGCCACCCAGGCGCCCTTAGGCTTCATTTTTTTTAGATGAATTTTGTAGTGAGACATAATTCAAATACCATAAACGCATCCTTTCAAAGTGCACAATTCAATGGTTTTTGGTACATTCACAAAGTTGTGCAACCATCGGCGCTACCTAATTCCGCAACATCTTCACCGGCCCCCAAAGGCAATCCCCCACGCCGCCAGTCAGCCCCCACCCTCTCCCCAGCCCCCGGGCCACGGCTAACCTACTGTCCCCTCTAGGGCTCTGCCTATTCTGCACATTTTCCATCAGTGGGACCCCACAGCGCGCGGCCGGCTACGTCTGCTCCCGCCCACCGAGCGCCGAGTCTTCAAGGTCCATCTGTGCGGCAGCAGGTGTCCACACCCAGCGCCCTGGATCCGCCCATCCGCTAGTGGGTGGACAGCGGGGCCCTTTCCCCGGGAGCCGCGGGTTCGGACTGTGCCGGACCGTGTGCGGCAGGCGGTGGCCGCGGGCGCGCGTTCGCGCCCCCGCGGGCTGCACGGCCGGCCGCGAATGGACATCTCTGTGTGGACCCTAAGTCCCTCATCTATTCTCCTGCCGGCCCCTGGCCCCGGGTCTGATCTGCAAACGTCTCCTCCCATCCGGGTCCCGTCTTTTCTCGGCGGCGTTCACCGCGCCAGCCCTTTCCAGTCTGACGCTGTGCGCAGGCCCCGGGAGCTTCCAGCCCCGCCGCCCCTCGCGGCCGCAGCCTCGCCCCACGCACTACTCGGCCGGGGGCCTCCGCCGCCGGCCCGTCGTCCCGCCCCTCGCCCGGCAGCTCTAGCCCTTCGCCCGTCTCGACGCCTCCCGCCGCGCGACGTCACTTCCGGCTCGCCGTAGCGGGCGCGCCGCCGCTTCCTCCGCTCGCGGCCCCGGATGCGCCGAGCGGAGCGGCGCCGCCTCGACTCCGGCCCGCAGCCCTCGGCCGGACGCGGCAGGAGTGCGGTCCAGGCTCCGGTAGGTGAGGGCGCGGCGTGGCCGGGAACGGCGAGGGTCAGGGTCCGGAGTCGTGTGGCCCGCGCCCCGGCCTCTCTGGAGCCGTTTCCCCCCCAACCCCGGGGCGTGTAGTTGGGGGCCCGCAGGGGTGGGGGGGCGCTGCCGGGAGTCGGGGGGTGGAGGTACCGGGGGTGGAGGTGGCACTGGTTTGGCGCGGAGACGCGGCACGCGAAGACGGGAGCGCCGGGGGGGGGGGGGGGGGGGGGGGGGGGGGGGAGTGGCGCCGGGAGTCAGGGGTTGGCCGGGGATGGGTGGGGGGCGCTGGCGCGGCGCAGAGCCGCGGCCCGCGGTGACAGGGCGCCGGTGCTATGAGGAGCGCTGATGCGGAGACGCTACCCACCGGGACGGGGCGCCGGGAGTGGGTGGGGGGCGCCGGCGCGGAGACGCGGCCCGCGGTGATGGGGCGCCGGGGGTGGGTCGGGGCTCTGGCGCAGTGCAGAGACCCACCGCGGTGCGGCGGCCCACCGTGACCCGGGCGCCAGGCGGGGGCGGCTCTCCCAACTCCCGGCGCAGGCCTGGCTCTTTATTTTGGTTTGGTTCTTGGGTCTGTGGGGCCAGCCCCTTCGGCAGGATAGGCACCCCCACTGCATTGGTCCTCTGGCGCGAGGCGTGCCGCCTTCGCAGGTGTGCAGAGGGAAAGTGACTGGTCCAGGCCATTCAGTGGGGGACAGCTGGGCGGATTCAAACCCAGCTCATTTTGACGCTACTGCGCTCGGTACAGCACCGTGGTCGGAATGTGCGGGGCTCCACAGTCTCTCTGCGCA